GGGGGGGTGGGGGGTGGCTTGGCCTGGCCAGGCGGGGAGCCCGGCAGAGGGGAGTGACGCGCCCTGCCCCCCAGGCTGAGGAGGAGCTCGTCAAGGCCCAGAAGGTGTTCGAGGAGATGAACGTGGACCTGCAGGAGGAGCTGCCGTCTCTGTGGAACAGGTGAGGGAAGGCCAGGCCACAGGCCGTCTGGGCGCCCGCACTCCCTGGGGCTCGCGGCTCTGATGGCGGCCGCCTGGTGGCAGCGGGCCTGCCTGGCTCCGAGTTGCCGCCGGGCCTGCCTGCTCACCCGGTCCTGACCCTCCCCTCCCTCCTGCAGCCGGGTGGGCTTCTACGTCAACACGTTTCAGAGCATCGCAGGCCTGGAGGAGAACTTCCACAAGGAGATGAGTAAGGTAGGCCCCGGCATCTGCGGGCCTCTGGGCACACTGCCCCTGGCCCGGCCTTGGGGTCTGCCGGGAAGGGACAGCCTGAGCGCCTCCTTCTCTGGGGGGGGTCAGCCGGCGACCACGGCACCCCCTGAGCGCCTGGGCCCGCCAAGGGGGCTGTGAGCGGGTCCCCAGGTGCGGCCGGCCCCTCTTCCCAGTCCTGTTGTCCCTGCCTGGATGGCCCCTCTTGCAGGAGGTGTGTCCTCAGGCAGCCTTGTCCAGGGGCAGTGTTGGGAGATGTGGCCCGTTCCCATGCTGCGGGAAAATAATAAACGCATCACTAGAATTTTCTCAGTTTTAAACTTCCCTCCCGTGTTTCTTAAGACACTTCAGCAAGGCTGCTTCATCTGCCAGGGCCTGGTAGCGGGGGAGTCTGGTCTGACGAGCTGCCGGTCCTATGTGCTGTCTTCATTCTAACGTAGTTGGCTGCCACCGCGCCAGGCTGTAGCACGTTGCAGTTTGCGGTCTCGGTGCTGGCGGTTCCCCCAGCCACTGCTGGAGAAGCCCCCCAGCCCATTGGAGAGACCCACGGCCAGGCAGCTCCTCCAGGCTGCTCCTGGGTGGTTCTGACTCTGTCTTTTGGGCCCGGTGGCATGAGGGGATGTTGGAGACCAGGGCTGCTCCTGACTCGCCACCGAGTGTGGCTTCCCGCCTTTAGGCCTTCTCCTTCTTCCGACGCTTCCTCTTTCCCTTCAAAGATGTGAGACAACCTGCGAAAAATTCGAAAAAGAGGTGTTGGCCGGGCTCGGTGGCTCAGCCTGTAATCCCGCGCTTTGGGAGGCCGAGGTGAGTGAATTGCCTGAGCCTGCGAATTCGAGACCCACCTGGGCAACTTGGCGAAACCTCATCTCTACAATAAATCAAAAATCAGCCGGGCATGGACGCGTGTGCCTGTAATTCCGGCTACTTGGAAGGCTGAGGCGGAAGGATCGCCGGAGCCCGGCGGGTCAAGGCTGCGGTGGCCGGGAGCGGCCACTGCACTCCAGTCTGGGCGACAGAGGGAGACTCCGACTCAAAAAAAAAGAGAGGTGTTGCAAGGAAGGAAACACTTATGTGAAGTTTGTCCGTGGAAATACATGCCACAAGGCACAGTGGGAGGAAAATTTAGCTCTGAGCTTCCTTGCGGCCAAAGCAAAGTCGGAAATATTCTCAGAAACGAGGACGACCACGTGCAAGGGATAAGCCCCCTCTTTTGCCTGTGCTTTGGACGAACTCCCTGGCCATTGCGGTGTGGTCTGAAAACATGTCAGCAAAATAACCTCAGCAATTGAGATCCACAGTTTCCCAAAACAGTGTTTAAGGGAAAAAGATGCAAACACGGCACACGTTGTCTGTGGTATTTTGAATCAGCCCTACATGTCGAAGGAGAAAAGACGTCCCCCAGAGGCAACGGGTGTTAGTGACATGTCCCACTTGCCCCCGTTCCCTCCTCGGTACTTTGAGTGTGGCGTGCTGGTCCCAGCTCTCTCAGATGGGCGAGAGGAGCTTGTCCTGAAAGGGCAAGGGCTGGGGGGCGCAGGAGTTTGGAGAAGGGGGCTGTGTGGAGCCTGGAAGCCCCACCTTCCTGCTGTCCCTCCTGCAGCTCAACCAGAACCTCAACGACGTGCTGGTCAGCTTGGAGAAGCAGCATGGGAGCAACACCTTCACGGTCAAGGCCCAGCCCAGGTGTGTGGCCCCCGCTGGCTGGCGGGGCGTGTGTGGAGGGCGCGGTGCACCCCGCGCTGCATGGCGGGCCGGCTCTTCCCCGGGGCCTCGCCGGCCCTCCTTGGTCGCGGGTGGATTTGGCCCCGGAGGTCTGGGGACCTTCCTGGCTTGGCCTCCCGTGCTCAGGGAGGCAGGTGGGGCAGGCCTCTGTGCTCGGCCGCCCCGCTGCTCTGCGCGTTTCCCTGCGGAGGGAGCACCCCGGGGAGTCTGCGGGCCCCTCGTGCGTGGGGCAGGTGCTGTCAGGGTGGAGCGGCTGCCACCTGCCGCGCCTTGGGAGGGCGGGACTGAGCCGTCCTGAGTGGCGTCCTCGGAGCCGGGAGCCGGCGCCGCCTTCCGCTGGCTGCTCCTGGGGAGGCCCAAGGCCGGGATGGTGGCGTTCTGTCCCGGGGCCTGTCCCCAGCCGGCCCCTCCGGAGGCTGGCTGCCAGGAGAGCCCTGCTGCCTCCTGAGGGGAGCGCAAGGAGGAGGGCACACGCTGTGCTCCTCGGGCTGGATCCGGGAGGCAGCCGCCAGACTGGCCCTCGCCCCCTCCCTGGCCTCGTGTGCGTGGGCGCCTGTGTGAGGAGCAGTGTGTGTATGCGGGACTGCGTGTGTGGCGAGGGACTGTGTG